GTTTCAGGCCAAGGGAACAGCCAGTGCAAGGGTCCTGAGGTGGGATCATGCCTGGTGAGTTTGAGGAGGCTGCAGCAGAGGGATTGCAGGGGAGAAAACAAAGAAAGGAAGGTCACAGGGGTAACCTAGGCCCATCCTGTCCAGCTTTAGGTCATAGAGAGGAGTTTGGCTCTTCCTTTAAGTGAAAAAGGAAATTGTTGTAAGAATTTGTATAGGGAAATGCCACTCTTTGACTTATCTTTTAATAGTGAGAGAGTGAAGAGTTTGCTGCTAGGGGTTGAGGGCAGAAGTAGGTGTAAAGTAGGAGGCTGTGGCAATAATCCAGTTGAGTAACTGTGGTGGCCCAGACCTTGATGGTGGCAGTGGAGGTGAGGGGTGTTCAGATTCTAGAAACATTTTGAAGGGAGGATTAGTGCCAACACTTGACAAGTGGGAAATCCAGCTTGCCTTAGAACTGTCAGCGCTGGGCCCATGTTCCTATGGGGTGAGAACCAGCTGACTCCTGGCTCTCCGCACTCGCCTTGCAGACTTCCACAGGCCCCAGAAGACACACTTCAAGGTCCTTCTCCAGCCTTGAGGGTCCTTCTCCAGCCTTGAGGGTCCTTGCGTTTGCCGGCCCTGAACTGATCTCCCAGAATACACTCTGCTCCTCTCCCTGGTTCTCCTCACTGCCTCCTAGTGATATTTTAAAGATAAATCAAATCATCTGTCCTACTTAAATGTTGGCTTCTCTCAGGATAAAGACAAAACTTCGCATGGCCCCGCCCCTCCCCCACAGCCTTTGCCCCACACATTTTCTGCTCAGGCCTTAATGGTTTCGCTCTGTTCCTTTACTCCCCATTCTCTGTCCCTCCTCGGGACCTTTGCACCTGCTGATCCACCGCCTGGGATGCAACTCCTCTCCCTTCCTGACCTCACTGACTCCTCATTCTTCACAACCCAGGATCATGTCTTGTCAAGGTCAAAGTTTGACCTTTGTGTTGTGATTATTCATTTCATAATTCCCTCTCCCATTAGATCACAAACCTCATGAGGGCAGCAAGCAGGTCTCTTTTTTCTCAGACTTGTATCCCTAGATCCAGCTCATAGTACATACTCCCTCGCTCATTCATTTCTTCACATCTTCACTCCAAAAAAATATATTTATTGAGCACCTATGTGCCAGGCCTTGTACTGGGGGCTGAGGATGAACGAGCCAGATGTAGACACCACTCTCTGGTAGCTTCCACTGGGATGGGGTGGGAGTCGGGGGAGATAATAAGCAAGTATATAAATGTCAGGTGGTGATAAGAGCTATGAAAGAAAAGAAAAGTTGGGTAAGGGAACAGAATACAATGGGCGTTCTTTTATGTAGAGTGGTCAGGGAAGACCTTTCGGAGGAGGTGGCGTGGAGTCAAGGCTGGAATCCAGTGAGGGAGCAGCCCCAAGGACATGGAGCGTAGAGGCCCGGGGTTGAATGAGCATCGTCCCATGAGCTCCTTGCCTGGGTCAGTTTTGCATGCCAGGTGGGTGAATGCCCTGGGGGCGGCTGGGCTGGCACTCACGGTGGCTCCCTGTGTTTGTGCAGCCTCCGGGAGAAGCTGTGGGCTATCCTGCAGGCCACGTACACTCACTCCCGGAACCTGGCCAGCTTTGTGTTCACTTACAAGGGACTCTGCGCCCTGCAGTCCCACCTCCAGGGCGAGACCTACCAGGTGCACTCATTCGTGGCTGCCTTCCTTGGGGGCGTCCTGGTGTTTGGAAACAACAATAACATCAACAGCCAGGTAAAGGCCCTCTCCTGGATGTGGGTTGGGGAGAGGGGTGGAGGTGAAGCGTGGGACAGGATTCAGGTGTAGAGTTGGGGATGGGAGTCAAAGAAGACAAGCTCTTGGTTCCCTTCCATGTCCGAGGGTCTGTGGTTCACCAGTCCCTGTGTGACCTTGGAAAGGTCACTTCCCCCTCAGTTTCCCGCTCTGTTAACCAGGTGCCTTGTTGGAATTCCATGATTCCCAAAGTCAATGTGTGTGCAGCTCTCTGGGGCAAAGATTTAAAGAAACAAAACAAAACAAAACAAAAACACAAAACACCACTCTGCAGTGACGTGAGAAAAAAACATGACCCTGGAGTAAGATTTTCATAAAACGAAACTTACTACATTCAGAGAATTGTCTCTTATTCTGTAACTTGACCTTTTTTCTGGGTTAAAGTTCTGTTTTTTAATGAGGTGATGAAACTAAATGCTAATGTTGCTGCTGCTCCTGTTTTAGCATCCTTCTTGGGCAATATGAAAGTTGGCAGTCTTTGCAATTTGCCTTCCTCAAATTTCTTAAATATTCTTAAATTATAAAAATAATATTTTATTTTCACATTTTAAATAATGCAAACTAAGCACCGCCTATGTGCCTGGCACACTTCTGGGTGCTTAGGATACATCATGATAAAATTAGAAAATAAACTGGAAAGAAAGTTCCTGTCCCCCACCAACTGTCCAGCCACTGTCCAGAGGTAGTCACTTTTTTTAAATTAATTTTTATTGGAGTATAGTTGATTTACAATGTTGTGTTAGTTTCTGCTGCACAGCAAAGTGAGTCAGTTATACATATACATATAGACAGTCACTTTAACTGTGTATCGTATAGCCTTTCAGAACTTGTCTGTGCTTGTGTCAGTGTACATAGTAGGAGTTTTCCACCAATGAGATCATACTACGTTTTTTTTCACGTAACAGTGTATCTTGGAGGCCTCTCTTGTCAGTCCCTTATCCTTTATAACATCAGTAGAGCCCTGTGCTGATGGGATGGACCAGCCTTGATTTCACAGTCTCCTCTGGATGGACATTTAGGGGCTCTTTAGCCTTTGGCCATCACACACCCACACTGCAGTCTACATCTTTGTTCAGACATCTTCCTGTACTTATGTTAGTCTGTCCGTAAGTTCCTAGACATGGAATTGTGGAATCTAAAGATATGAGCATTTTGTATTTTCGGAAAGTTTCCCCAATTTTGTTTTTTTGATAGAAATTTCACTTGTCTGTGAACTTCCAAAGTCTAGGAATCCTGGACACACCCATCTCCTTCCCTCTCCCCTCCTTTCCCTGACCCCTGGCAACAGCTGCTCTGACCTCCATTTCAAAAATGTGGTCATTTCAAAAATGTTGTCATTTCAAAAATGTTATATGATAGACATTTCTCCAAAGAAGACATACAGATGGCCAACAGGCACATGAAAAGATCCTCAAGCTCACTAATTATTAGAGAAATGCAAATCAAAACTATAGTGAGGTATCACTTCACACCAGTCAGAATGGCCATCATCAAAAAGGCTACAAATAACAGATGCTGGAGAGGGTGTGGAGAAAAGGGAACCTTCCTACACTGTTGGTGGGAATGTAAATTGGTGCAGCCACTATGGAGGTCAGTATGGAGTTTCCTTAAAACACTAAAAATAGAGTTACCATATGATCCAGCAATCCCACTCCCGGGTATATATCTGGAAAAGATGAAAACTCTAATTAGAAAAGATACATTCACCCCAATGTTCATAGCAGCACTATTTGTAAGATACGGAAGCAACCTAAATGTCTGTCAACAGATGAATGGATAAAGAAGATGTGGTATATATATATATATATATAT